GCCTGTAGGCTGTCATCCTTTGTTTTAAACCTCAACAATATTGATGAGTGACTGGGTGTTTCTGACTGTCTTTCAGCTATCTTGGTTTTGAGAAATGTATCTTGGACTTACAATGGCTTGCCACTGAGTAGCAGTGTATGGGATGATGCAATAGCATTGAATGTAGTTGCTGATGTGCAACCATGCCATCAAAACTCATGCATATACAAGAAAACATTTGAAAAGCTGTCCACTGTAGTGACCTCTATGCAAGAAAGGGTTAAATAGCAGACTGTTCTGTCCTAATATTGGGTAAAAAATTGATAAGCCTCTGTTGCAACGTTTTGGAGACATTACTCCATCAGGCAAATGGCAAATTTCCTCTGTTTAGAGTTTCCGTGACCGTGTAAATTATAGAACTGTTCCTGAGTTTTCTCCCCTCCAGTGAGGTTGAGTTTTAGGGATAAGGAACAGGCCAACAAAATGGTGGCTTGGGCCGAAAAGCAACGGTCACCCCACCAACAACATTCCACGCAGCGAGCACAGTAAAAGCATGGGTTAAGTGAGGTTAGGGGGGTTGGTTTTTCTGACGCCATGAAATTTAATTTTGTCAGAAAAAAAGGCACTGTCCGCAAACTAACTCTAAGTCGCTAATGAGGCAACCACCACTCTCCGATATTTTGCCTTTTATCCTAGATTGTCCGTCTATTCTCCCACTGACGATGTTCCACAAGCACACACTTGTCATAAGCACGCTTAAATATCAGTCTGTTCTGTCCTAATATTGCGTAAAAAATTGTTAAGCCTATGTTGCAACATTTCGGAGACATTACTCCTTCATCAGGCAAATGGCAAATTTCTTCTCTTTAGAGTTTCCGTGACCGTGTAAATTATAGAACTGTTCCTGAGTTTCCTCCCCTCCAGTGAGGTTGAGTTTAGGGATAAGGAACAGGCCAACAAAATGGTGGCTTGGGCCGAAAAGCAATGGTCACCCCACCAACAACATTCCACGCAGCGAGTACAGTAAAGGCACGGGCTAAATTAGGTTAGGGGGGTTGGTTTTTCTGATGCCATGAAATTTAATTTTGTCAGAAAAAAAGGCACTGTCCGTAAACTGACTGAGTCGCTAATGAGGCAACCACCACTCTCCGGTATTTTCACTTTAATCCTAGATTGTCCGGCCATTCACCCACCGACGTATCCGACGATGTTCCACAAGCACGCACTTGTCATAAGCACACTTAACATTTTCATGCATGAATTATGACAACCTAAGTCATGGTTTTTATTGCTCTTTAAGCATGAAAAACAAGATTTGAACTTTGTTTTTTTTAATCCAGTTTTTTGAAAGAGATTTTTACATGTCCACTCAGGTGGACAGCATGCATTTTTGTTTTCAACTGAAGAAATATGTATTTAACAAACAAATGAATAAAATGATATATAAAGATGTGAAAATTATAAAATAATATATGTATATACCAATAAAATGTGCAGACTATCTTTTATAATAACTGGCAAAGCACCCAGGCCACAAAGCCACAAGACACTGCATGCAGATGTACTTTGTTCTTTGTGTGCATGGCATCTGTTTGCATTTTTTTGCATCTAATAATACTAATAACTAATAAAGACACAATTATCTTCACTGCCAGAGTAGAGGTGTTGTCTCTCTGTAGCCTGTTAACAAACTGTCCTGTGTTCTGTTCATAAGTACAAGATCGATTTCTACCAGTGGAATGCGTTTATCTTATTTATATATTATTTGTGTCTGTACGTTTTGAAATTCAGATTGTGACGTCAACATTAATTTACCCAGAATATGATTATTGTTTCTCTTAAATTATATAACTCATCAAACCTGACACTCAGGAATGATCAGCCTCACGAGACTGAATGAAATGATGATAAATGATGTAAAAAGTGTTTTTTGTTTCTCTCTCTCTCTCTCTCTCTCTCTCTCTTTGTATCCATAATAAAAGTTATTGAGGGAAATATCAGATCGTGAAAACACAAATCTTTCTAATAAATGAAGAAAGTTATTTGTGGTCCTTTTGTTGTTCAGACCTACAATGAACATACATTTAAACCAGATGGTGAATCAGAAAACTAATCAAATATAAAGCTTGAGTTTAATCTGCGATCCGTCTTCACTGTTTACATGTTGAAAAAAATCTCATCAGTCTGGTCGGCTGCAGCGTCCAATCACATAGCAGATGAACAATGAGGGGGTGTTCTCATGGGTCCTCGCTCATGGCTCCTCGGAGATCCCTCCTCTCCCCTCGACCCTCGACTTGTACGCCGACAGAGTCAGGAAATGGGCAGGAAAGATCACTGCAGACCCTTCACACCCTGGACACAAGCTGTTCCAACTCCTCCCCTCTGGTAGGCGCTACAGAGCACTGTACGCCAAAACCACCAGACACAGGAACAGCTTCTTTCCACTGGCCGTCACTCTAATGAACAATTAATCAGACATACTCCACTATTACCTCTGTTTGCACTATTATCACCTCAATTCCATTGCCATTGTTGTTTATAGGTTTATGTTCATATATGCAGTATATATACATATATATACTTTTTTTGGATATATATTTATACTTATATTGTACATAGTTAAATGTTTATACCTACATCTGTTCTACTTTTCTTTTTTTGTTGCCTTTGCTTTATTTTTTATAAATACATAATCTTAATGCGTACGCATACATGGCCAATAAATCTCATTCTGATTCTGAATGGGCTAGTAAGTAGACCTTGATTACCTTGCTTGTAGTGTTTTCTCTTTGTGAGTCTGTGTGTTTGTTTATTTGTTTCTAGATAGATTTTTGTGACCACAATAACGTCCCAACCATGCCAGATGCAGTCATGAAACTTTACAGATAGATCATATCAAAATGAAGGCCCAATTCGAAGATTAACAGTTATTTGTGTCTATGAGTTGACACTGGGTTTTTGGTTGTCGCACACATTGTGACATGAATCAGCCTTTTCTCTGGAGACTCACACCTTCCAGCTTCCAGCTTCCAGCAACTGAAGGAGAAAAAGCTGTTGGTTGAGCAGAATGGAGATCTTCCCACCTAAAAAGTAGGCCAGTGCAATGAGGCTTGACAACCCTTTGATATGAGGTGGATCATTTGCAACACAGGGACAGAAACCTGCATAAAAGCTTCTATACTGTTGTACGAATGTTTCCTGGTTTCAGTCCGAATAACTCAGCTAGTGTACTGGAGTTTTTCACATTAGTATTAAGGCAAACATTCAAGTGGGATACCCAAAAAACATTTATGCTCAAAATGCAAGACTTCAGGTAAAGGAGGGAGATGCCACTCAATCATAACTGCCTTCTTCATCATAAAAGCCAGCAATTATTTGGCCGATATCTATAATGTCTAAGACACATGATTCAAATTAGTGCTCCAAAGGCATCAACATCCCGAGGAATTAGATCCATATTGGAGGATTCTGTACCCCACAATTTATGTCCAGTTTCAATGCAGTAGTGTGTCCTGTATTCTACTGCCTTTTCACTAGCACTCTTAATAGCCTAACTTATGAACACTATGTGGAAATGCTTTGACAACTAAAGCAGTCCGTCCTAAATAGTAACAGTTGTAGTGTTACTGCTTGAAGCAGATGTATCAAATAATAGTTTATATCAAAATATGTAAAGATTATTAATAACTCAATTATGAGTGACAAACCCTTTAAGTAGTATAAAAATAATGATGGTACTCAGCTTCCACTGAATTTAACAGTTTAACTAACAGACTTGAACATAAGATTAAATTTAGGACACCACCAATTAAATCATTACTTCAGGGTTGCTAGAGTTCTTGTCATGGTGTACAGGGACCTATTATTCCATAAACACGCAAATCAAATGGTCATTTATAAAAAAGTTGAAATATTTATGAAATATTTATTGGAGTAACTATATAACTTAACTACTCAAAAGAAAATAACTGAATAAAATGAATAGAATGAAGAATATGATGAAGAGTACAATGAATAACAATAAACCACAAACTAGTGAAAAGATTGCATGTGACCAAGTAGAATCAGTGACTCATATCATTGATTGATGTCTATCAAATAAGTCCGTCGATTGATGTTTTTACACCAAAAGATTTATGCACTGTTCAGCGTTTGAGAAGCACCAAGGAACATTGTGAAGCAATTTTATACTAGTTCTAGTTTATATTTAATTTAGGCCTAAAGCTTATTTGTCTGTTTTATGAATATTTCTAACTACGATTCTTTTACCATCTCACTTAAATGCATTTGGCCAAGAAACATCCAACTCATTTACATCTGGAAATTGTATTGTTTTCACCTGTTGGTTCTGATTGGCAGATGAGACGTAAATAGATGACCCTTCAGCATCAAAGTCCAGAGTCGAAGTTGAAGTGTTGAAGACAATTTCTCTGACTTCTTGTTGCTTTATATTCTTGAGAAACTGGGTGCAGTGTATAGCGGGAACAGCAAACCACGCTGGTATAAAATACAAGGATAGATATATAAAATATGCTTATATGAAATTACCTGTAAGGTAGGATCGTACCAAAGGATAGGCCTATTTATTAGTAGGAGTATAAATGATTAATAATATGAGTTATATCAATTGAAATTCACCAAAACAGAAACTAACTTAATCACATATGTGGATTATAACACAAGTCAAGTATTGGAGAGAGGTCAACAAGAGGTCCAAAACTCACATGTGAAGGAACAATTACTTTTACTAAACATATGTTAGCTCAGCATAACATATCGATTAAGGTACATGTTTGGTCGTATAATAACCATAATCTTTCTCTAACCTTAACCATAGCGTACTTGTAACGGATAAATCTACAGATTAATACTAATCTAAATCTGAGTTACACATACTCTTCTGAGTTTTCTAAATTAAGTAAAGATATAGATAAAGATATATCCTTTAAGTCAATGTGTTAAAAATAAATGCACAATATGAAGCATTACAAGAAAAAAAAAAAATAAAGAATATTGCATTTTTTTAATTGATCAGTCTGGGTTAATTTTGGGAAGCCTTTTTCTGCCCCGCTGACTCCTTTCCAGCAGAGATTAGAAATGATCAAATAGAGCAATTACTTATACAACTGTGAAAAACATGAATTGCATTGTGTTCAGTTTTATATTATTAATTATAGAATAATAATTTTAAAGACTGCACATTGATCATAAAAATTAAAAGAAGTTCTGACTGGAAGTCAGCTCTACAGTTGATATGTTTCAGCATGGAAAAAATGACATAACACGGTTGTTTTTACTTCTGCCATCTGCGCATCTGGGTATATTGAGCCGCGTAGGACTGCCTGCTGGTGTGCTGACCCTCTGTCTCTGATTCAGAAATCTCTTCTTCCTCTTCCTCCACCTCTTCCTCCTCCATGCCTCTCTGGCGTTGTAAGGTGCTGCGAGACTGCAAAATAAATAAGGTGAGAACTCTTGGGCTCACTGGCCTTCAGGACAGCAATTCAAAAATGGTCAGAGCATAACTGAAGTTTCTGTGTTAACCTTAGTCGGTTCCACAACCTGACATCGGTGACCATTCTTTGCCTAAGATCTTTTGATGATTGATTTGACTTCTGTGGACCTTTTATTAAAAAAAATAGCCCTCAGGTCCCTCCCAAAAATCCCTGGACATTTTGTCCCAAAAATCACTGTTAGAACCAGAGCAGCTAGAATCATGTACGAATACACTTTCAAATGTAAATTGACCCCAAGGATTCTGATTCTGAAATCAGTTTGATGTTGTGACATCATTTTGACCTAGAAATCAATGGTCGTCGCCATCCAGTAGAGTGAAAACATGACATTTGAACGGTAAGGCAAGATGTTGATCAGTGCCAAATTGTCTAAGCAAGGGTTAATGGTTTTCAGTCCTAATGCTGTGTTCACACCAAAGATTCGCGTCATTCCCGCCCCCGGTCTCGCCGGGGACCATTTGTGTTCAACTGTCCCGACATAAACCATGGAAAAAATAATCTCTATTTCTGCTTAGTACGTGTTGTGGAAGTCACAAATATCCCGGGAAACTAAACGCCGTCATGTCTGGGTTCATAATATTGTCCAGAGGAGCTCTGGATTTTATCGAGGTGTATTCACTGTGTCTAGCAAGCCACAGGTCGCTGTTTACTAGAGCTGTATGAACACAAAATAAACTGATTTGGCTGTGATTTAACGGCAATAAACCGACAAAAAGGGACTCCGAAATAACTACGTAATATGCCGATTTGTACTCGTCTTCTCTGACAAAAAGGGACTCCGAAATAACTACGTAATGATGCCGATTTGTAGGCTACTTGTCTTCTCAATGGAGTTCAGATGGATCGGTGCTAGACTATGCTAACATTGTAGCAGCTCCACCAACACTCAGAATAACGTCATCTAGACGTAAATACGGCAGCGTCTATTCATTGTTTGTACCATATGGTATACACACATGTATACAGATAGTTTGGTCCGGTCTCTATTGATATGAGGTATCGTAGAGCTCTGGGTGAACACAGACTGCTACAGTATTTATTTCCTGATTCAACAACGGCAGGAAGTCAGTGATGACAGGAGAAACATCTCAACACTGAGAGGCTATCGCGCCGGGGCGTAACGCAAATATTTCGCTGAAGTTGAAAAATTTCAACTCACGAGTTTGGGGCGATTTGCCGTTGGACGCGAAATTGCGCCAATCGCGCCGTGAATTCGCGTCAATCTCTGTGCATAGACTTTGTATGTAATCTACTCACGCGAATAATTCGCGCCGCGTTTGGTGTGAACGCACCATAAGGAGATTCACTTCTTACCGGGGTAGATCGCCATGGTAACTTATGCTGAACACCTAACCTGGTACCAAGCATGTATAAATGAACAGGCTAATAATATCTCTGCCCATCTAGAGCACGATAGATTTGACTATAATTGCATGAGTGTGTTCCAATAAATGAATGTGTTGTAGATGTATTCGTATGGTGTGAGACAATATTTTTGCCTTTTTCTTTCAGCTGCATTCCCTATGGAGTAAAACAGTCTTGGGAGCAAATAGAAAGAAGATCAGTATATATTCATATTATATATTCACTTATGTGTGTCAGCTTCTTTGATTTAGTATGACAGCACCATGGATTATATCTTTGTTGAAATATATCTAAATGTTTGAAACTCACATATGACATCCGCATATTGAGAATAGTGTGAATATAGTGTGGTCTGAATGGGTCAAAATACAGCCTGTTTGCCTTAGTAAGGGTCAAAGTCTCTTATAGAAAAATACTACTGAGGAGGCATAGCAGGTGTGTGATAAGGCTGGCTTTACTACTAAAGAGGCATAGCAGGCAGTGTTGCCAACTCCTCAGTAAGGAAAGTAGCCATTGGCTGTCCTAAAAGTCGCTAGAAGTCGCTAAATGACGTCATCGCCTAATTTGCATAATTGTAATTTCTGCAGCTGGGACTGCTGTGCGAGGGGCTTTCACGTCAGAGTCAAACACCGGAAATTTCTCCAACAACGCCAGAAAAAGTAGCTAGATTTGTCGCTAGTAGCTTTTGACAAAAAAAAGTCGCCAGATTTAGCGAGAAAGTCGCCAAGTTGGCAACACTGATAGCAGGTGTGTGGTAAGGCTGTCTTTACTACTAAAGAGGCATAGCAGGTAAGCCCATCATGGAAAAGGCAAGCGAAGGCCGTTAGGGCTGTGATAAGAACAGCTGATCTGTGATAAAAAAGTCATGTTATGCTGGGCGGCATCAGGAAAAGGCTTTCAACTCCCACTAGAAAGATAAAGCTGACCATGACACATTGGTACATGCAATACACACATTAGAAACCATACGAACATAACTCACACCCACGTGACAGGAAAAGGGACACACCTGCGATTTACTGGGTTTAATTAAAAACAAGAATGACGTATCAAAGGAAAACGGAGGAAAGCAAAAGCGATGTCAGTCCCACTGTATAAGACTATGTAAGAACAGAATAAATCATTTTCCGGAGAATGACTCGGGTTGTGTTCTTTGCTTGAAGAATAAACTATATTGCATTAAATTCTGTCTGATTCCAGTGCTTTCTTCAAAGATCATTAGGACACCAATACGTATTAAGTATAGAATAAGAATAGAGTTTGGAGCAGTAGTTTAGACTTCATCAACTGGTGCATAGAAATAAGATGCTGATCTGTGGGTCTTTACGGTGAATCACAGCACTACTGAGAGGAAGAACACTCGCTCCCTCCTATTTCTTCCAACAGTGCCAGAATATCTATCGTGCAACAATAAATACATCACGAGTGTCACTCCAGTATTTATGTTTACAGCAGTAAAACTGATTGCTTCCAAAATGATCATGACAATCAGTGGTATGCACCACCCTGGATATCATTTTTAAAAAGGAAATTTGATAGGTGAACACAATTTCTTTTTTTCGTGACATTATGATTAGGACTGATAATGAGGATATGGAGCGATTGTGCGAGAGATGTCGCTGGCTTTATTTCCACACTTTGCTAATTTACACAGTCCTTATGTGCAGGTGGTGAAGATTAGGTGAGGTGACTGGAGGAGGTGTTAACACCATGGTGACTCCTCTGATCCAGAAAGCTCCGATACTCTCATCAGATAGTTTACAGTTTGTCTGTTTGCAGTATGCTCAATCTGTCACTATGGAATAAACCATACATAAATAAATAAAGCCGTGTTCACTGATTTTACTCACAAAGACTTTATGAAAACTCATTTTGTACTTGGTGATAACTGCACAGTATTAGAAGATTATTGAAAACTAATGACGCTCTGTTCTGCAGTTATTTAACGTTATGATGTTATTTTACAGATGATAAATTCACCAGCTGCTCCACAGCTGACCACGAGGTAGTTCAGCCCTTTCCTGATGAAATATTGAGCGAAATCTGATTTGAGGTTTGAGTTAGTCCATGTCTTTTACAATTGAAATGTGCTTATAGTCATGGCTCACTAGTTCAAGCACAAATAACACTGTGTGACAAAGTGGGTGAGAACACACCATTTGTCCCATATTACATTCATATATAAATCTGACCATGCTTGTCAATTGTTTGCTTACCAGACCCACCATATGTTCCAGAGGCTAAAGGAGGAGGCACCCAGCCATTTCCTCTATTTATACACTGGATGATGTCATCCGTGATGTCATTGGGTCAGACCAAGTATGGGGGGGAAGTAGAGTATGTACAGGTAGATTTGTAGGTTGGTTATGATCTGTTTTACATTGTTATTAGTGTATAGCAAAGTGTAAACCATATACAATTGTGGGCTATCTAAAGGGGTGCTGTAAGTTATAGGTTTTGTCTGTTAACTAGTGAGTCACCTGCACTCATGGTAGGAACTATATCCTGCTGATAGGAGGCTCTATATAAGGAGATGACTTTGACTGAACGGGAGAAAGGAAGATCAGTGTGTAGCTGTGTGCACGTGATTATGTTACTTTAAAATGAGTTGAGTTTTATTCAGTTAAAACCTTCTGGCTGCGAGTCTCCCCCATTTGGGGGCGCTCGGGCTCAGCACCCCTGAAAATATTGTTCAGAAAATAGCCTTATTGTTCACCAGTATTGTGGATTTGTCCAGTTTTTTTTCCGGATTAAATGGCAACGTATGGGCAACACTATCATATAAGTCACTTTTTACACACTCCAAACACAACTATAGACTACTAATATAAGCATCTAGAAAATGTGGCATAAAAGCATGAAATCCTGGCCAGAAATCGCCATTATGAGTACGGCAAATCAATATTTGCACCCTGATGCTAGCGGCTACCAAGCTTTGCAATGCATTTTATAGCATTAGCACATGTGGCCGAACACATAAATACCTTCGGTTTTTCTCTCCGTCGAAGCAGTAGACAGCTGTGAGTGGACAAAGGTGCCATCGTACTGCCCTCCGCCGAAAAAAATCGTGGGCGTTTGGTCCGGTTTTATGAAAAATGAGTACAATAACGTCGCAGATTATCCGTTTCAAAGCTGGAATCATTGTTGCCAACTGCATCCTGTTTACTTCCGAGCTGTTTCCAGAATAAGAGCGGTCAATCCAACTTGGGCGAGCGGTCAGACTTCTGGCGAGCGAAAATTTACGCTCGGGGAGACGCGGCACTTCTTGCAACTTTACTGGCTGAAACTTATGTCAATCAACACCAAATTCAACACACGCCTTCCTGAGACTCTGACGCGTCGAAGGAGGGCTTATTGACTGAAATCGACCGATGATAGGCTGAGCTACAGCCCCTTACACACAGACCAACTGAGAAAATCCTATGGATGAGAGGACCCTTGCTCTCAAAATCATTTCAAACAGCTGTATTTGGATGTATTGAATAATATGAGTGATAAAAAAAGTGAAATATATAGTTATATAGTATATAAAATTAGAATAGAGCATGAGAGAGAAATGAGAATTCGGCTTGAAATTCTGTACTCAGACCTCCAATTATGCTGGCCTGCTTCACTCAATCTAAGTAAAATTAGCTTAGAGAGACCACAAACCTGTTGTGCTATGACACAGGAGTATTTGTAGGCTTCACTCTGCAATAATTCCAAACAAATGATCAATGAAAGTGCTTTTTTTTCAGGCGAACCTGAAACTTTTTTCAATCTTCATTCACTATTAACCAGTAACATATACACAATATTTACACAATTGAACACATCTCACAAGTGTTACCTGCCTAGACCATCAAAATTATTAAAATATACCTTGTAGTTAGAGCTGTGGACTCTCTTGAGTATGGGTATGCAATTTTCGAGTAGAGGCCTAAAAATAGGGCTAGTAGTTAAAAGGTTTTAAGGTACGTTAAATGTTTGTTTTGTTTGTATATATATATATATTTGGTTACACGTGTAGCAGGGCACTTTTATAAATAAAACACCTTTTGATATCGGAACAAAGTCTCTCGTGTCTGCCTCCTACCACTTCAGAAGCCACTCAGGTCAGGCTTTACCACACATTGGTTTTACTGTTTATTATACCTGTAATGATGCCTGACACATTTAATTTCTACAATCTGGCCCTACCCCTAACCCCCTCACCATCTGTGTCTCCAATTTCCCCTGTCTCCAAAATGTTTGTACGCATAGGTCAAAGTTGAAGTGGCGTATGCCGTTCTCACGCCCTGCTTTGTTCGTACGCAATGGTTATAAATGAGACCCCAGATCTGGGTAGAATATAACCACAGGGAGGAGGGATTTTTTGTCAAAGGTCCATAGAGGCAAAGGAGAATGGTCACAGAATTGAGGTTCTGGACCCGACAAGCATTATCATTCTTCTCTCATTCTTTCATAAGACATAAGGCTCACCCTCCTGTCTGTGTCTGGGTACTGGCTGTGTTGTTGCCTGTGGATTTGGCCTGTGGTAGAGGCCAGCATTGACCTGAGCCTTTGGCTTTTGGGGGAGGCCAGAGGAGGACTGGGGTAGCGGCTCATGAGGGGAGAAGAGTAGCTGGTCAGAGGTGTCTCCAGGAGCCCAGCCAGAGAGTCAGCCATCTTGATCCGTCTATTAAACAGCTATGGAGTCATAAAGACAGTATTTACTTCAAAACAGGATAGAGGTTTCAAGCTTGCCATTTGTCGCTTGTCCCCTTCGATGTCCCAACATTTTTGCATAGTTTAGTCATTAAATGTGGTCCAATATTCTTCAAAGTCACAATGGACATCGGCCTGAAATAGTTACAATAGTTAATAATTTTGGTGTATTTATTGAAATATTTGGTTGAACATTCAAAGCCTGGTTGGAAAAAGAAAGTGAACCCTCGGTTCTAGTAACACATTAAACTAATTTTACAGCAGAGACCTCAGCAAAGTATTTTTTGCATAGGTGCATCTCTAAATTATAACTCATTTGAAAGCCTGGTTCTTAGTTTTTCAAACCCAACCTGGAAAAGAATACAACCAATTCTATGTGTTATAGTGTACCAGGCCCCAGGTCCGTATTGTGAATTCCTTTTGGAGTTCTTATCAAGTCTAGTCCTTAAAACAGACAAAGTAATTATTGTAGGTGACTTTAATATTCATGTGGATGTCGATAATGATAGCCTTATCTCATTATTAGACTTGATTGACTTCTGTCAGTGTACAGAAACCCACTCACTGTTTTAACCACACCCTCGACCTGGTTCTGGCTTATGGCTTTAAAATAGAACATTTAATAGTCTTTCCACAGAACCCTCTTTTATCGGACCATTATCAAATAACTTTTGAATTCCTACTAACGGAGTGTATTAGGCAAAAGTTTATACACTAGATGGCTATCTGATGGTGCTGTAGCTCAATTTAAAGAAGTAATTCCGTCTGTTTTTAATTCAATACCATGCCTCAATATAACAAAAGTCCCAGGTTGATCATCTTGTCGATAGTGCAACAGGCTCACTGAGAATGACACTAGACTCTATTGCCCCTCTAAAAAAGAAGATAATAAAACAAAGGATGTTCGCTCACCCTCAAACCGACAAATTAAAGCAAACATCGCTAAAACTTGACAGAACACCAATTTGGAAGAATCTCGATTAGTCTGGCGAGACAGTCTTAAGATGTATAAGAAGACCCTCCGTAATGCCAGAGCAGCCTATTACGCATCATTGATAGAGAAAAATAATAACCCCAGGTTTCTCTTCAGCACTGTAGCCAGGCTGACAGAGTCACAGCTCTGTTGAGCCGTGTTTTCCTATAGACTTCATGAACTTCTTTAATGATAAGATTATAACTATTAGAGAGAAAATTAATAATATCCTGCCCTCAAGCAGTACCGATCTATCCTGAAATAGAGTAACTTTGGAAACAGCTGTAAACCCTGATATATATTTAGATCGACCTTGACAAATTGACTTCAACAATTTCTATGTCTAAACCTTCTACCTGTCTCTTAGACCACATCCCGACTAGGCTGCTTAAAGAACTTATTTAGCACGTCTTTACTAGATATGATCAATCTGTCTTTACTAACAGGCCATGTACCACAGTCCTTCAAAGTAACTGTATTTAAACCTCTTCTTAAGAAGCCCAATCTTGATCCAGAGGTGCTAGCTAACTATAGGCCTATCTCTAAGCTTCCCTTCTTCTCTAAGATCCTTGAGAAAGCAGTCACCAATCAGTTGTGTGACGTTTTACGTAACAATAGTATATTTGAGGATTTTCAGTAAGGATTTAGAGTGCATCATAGCACAGAGACAGCACTGTTGAAAACTACGAATGACCTTCTAATTGCATCAGACAAAGGACTGGTCTCTGTTCTTGTCTTGTTAGACCTCAGTGCTGCGTTAGACACCATTGACCATTACATCCTGTTACCGAGATTAGAACATTTGTTTGGCATTAATGGAAACGCACTATATTGGTTTAAGTCCTATTTATCAGATCGACCTCAGTTTGTACTTGTAAACAATGAAACCTCGATGAACACCAACGTTAGTCATGGAGTTCCACAAGGTTCTGTGATTGGACAAAATCTTATTCACCACATATATGCTTCTTTTAGGCAATATTATCAGAAAACACTCCATAAACTTTCATTGTTATGCAGGTGATACTCAACTATATCTATCGGCTATTACCGAAACCAACCAGCTCTCTATACTTCAAGCATGTCTTAAGAACATAAAAACCTGCATGACCTGCAACTTCCTGATGTTAAACTCAGACAAAACTGAAGTTATTCTACTAGGCCCTGAACACCTCTGAAATCAATTATCTAATGATATAATTTCTCTAGATGGCATTGTGCTGGCATCCAGTGGCACCGTAAAGATTCTCTGAGTTATCTTTGATCAGGATATGTCCTTTAACTCCCAGATAAAAACACATTTCAAGGACTGCCTTTGTTCACCTACGTAACGTTTAAAAAATCAGGCACATCCTGTCTCAAAGCGATACAGAGAAATTAGTTCATGCATTTGTTACCCCTAGACTAGATTGCTGCAATTCCTTATTATCAGGCTGCTCTAAAAAGTATCTCTCTCCAGTTGATCCAGAATGCCGCAGCACATGTACTAACAAAAACTAAGAAAAGAGATCATATTACTCCTGTATTAGCTTATCTGCACTGGATCCCCGTAAAATCTAGAGTATAATTTAAAATCCTTCTCCTCACCTACAAAGCCCTAATTGGTCAGTCACCATCATATCTTTAGGAGTACAATCATATCCTATTATGCATAATGCTCCCTGTTTTGGCTTCCAGGGAAATCCAGGGAGCATTTTAAGAGCGGAGCCACCAGCGCCAAGTTTAACTGTATTTCTATGTGTTGCAATAAATGGCTAAAAGTCAATGACGAGAGTGTTTCTGACTGAAATATACCTATGTGCTTAATATCTAGAACAGAAATGCAAAAATGTAGTGTAAATTAACATGAATGCATAGGTGCAGTTAGGCTCTGGGTGAGCTAATCTAGCTTGTTAAAAATAATTACTTATTATTGGTTGTACAGTACTTGAAATGATATGTTACGTCGGGAACTTCTCATTATAAACAGTACCACTGACTATCCGTGTAACAATTTGGCCACAATTCAGCACATTGACCAGCAGACTCTACTATAATTGTAAAGGGAGTCCCCTACAGCCCTCCTCCACTGGGAACAACCTGGTCTGCAGCCTTTGTCCCCACAGTCAGTGACCAGCTGCTGGTATTTGCTAGTTTTCTGTACCACTGCCTCTTCACTCCCTGCCTCCCATGGTACAATCGAATCCACCATGATGATCTTTTTTCCCTCCGTTGACCAGATTACCACTTCTCGCCTCAGAGGGACTTTTGTCCTTCATGACGAAACAGATGGTGTGGAATGATTTTCCTTTGGCCTGGTGTTTTCCTGCTTTCTTGCTCCATAAGCCATACCTCGCCATCAATACCTCCCTTAGGTGAGTGATGCCTTGCAACCCAGCAGTGTGGTTCCTCTCCCACTGCACAGCTTACACAGGGGTCCTACCTCCTTCCCCACCTGTGCAGGTTCATTGGGGATGGGGATCTTGGCAGAAAAGACATGCAGAATGGATCCAGCTTCCACAGGTCAGTCTACCTACCTACAGTATACACGCAAAGTATACAAGCAATGTGTACATATATCTTTCTTGCTGTTTTTCTAGTCATCCCTTAAGGATGTGGTTTGTTAAGATAACTGAAGGGGCTGAATCTGAACTTCACCAAAAGGCATGGTCTGAAAAGGCCTTCAGCATAGCTCCCACCCACTCCAATCTAAGTAAGGGACCATTGCGAAATGGATGTGAGGTTTCTTTTGTGGAGGTCTCACCTTTTCTGAGCTCATTTGAAGCCCATCTAGGCAGTTCTGGCTCTCCTCCCTTCCTCCTCCAGGTTCCTCACTGCATGGACCATTGCTCTTCGCCCCCTTGGACTCACTTTTCATCCTACTGCTGGTGAGATGCTGACCTTATCTCCCAGTACAAGTGTTTCCAATTATATCTCTTGTCCTCAGTGAATGCTTGGCCGGTTGTTCCATGTTGGCTGTTGAATTCCCCCCAGACGTTGTGATGCCGGCTTCTCTAACATTATAATCTCTGCAGTCCCTGTAGGTCATGGCAATTCTGAACTTAGCTACTTTTAACTCTTTCAGAAAACAGGTGGAGCTGTACCTGGGGACCACTTTGCAACTCAACAGCCTGCTTATGCTTCACATGAAAAGAACCTTCATGACAAGGTTGAAGTATCAACTCCATCATCTACTCATCGTCATTTACACATATGTGTTTAATTTAACAGATATCAATATTGTAGTCTCTTTAAAGGTTGTTTTTTGGTCCCTTCAGGGCAAACACGCCATCCGACATATTATCACCTAATATGCTTCATATACTGTATGTTGTCACATCCAGCAGACACAAATCAACATTGTCATTCATTTGGAGTTATGTTTCTTTCCTGATTAATGTAGGTCCTAATATTCATTCTCCTTTAGCTCTGTTTTGGTCTCCACCAACTCAACTAAATATTTAGCTCTTTAGCTGCTCCACTATGTTCACCAGCTAATCGCTAATGTTGTCTGACTGCTATTTGGTGCTGAGCGGGTCAAGTACAGTGGGTTTATCTTAATAGTTACATCAGCAATCACACATTGTTGTTTCATGTGTTATCAGCCATGGTGCTACCTCCAGATCCTTTTGAATGTTAATTGCCTCCAGGTTATGGTACGTGTGCGCATAGATCTCCAGCGCTTTAGCATGGAAGAGCATCTCCACTGTAATGAAGTCTGTGAAAATCCTCTGCCAAAAAAACAAAGCAATGGTTGTTGTAAACGGGACATTGATGCCTTACCTGCTGGAGGATGTTTGTGAATAGTAAGTGTGAGACTGACTTTGATATCCTCCAGTTTCTGTCTCTGGAAGTCTTTGATGGTTTCCTCTAGATGTTTGATACTGCACTGGGCATTGTTGGAAGCCTTCTGAGCATTTACTTCTGCCTGTCAATTAACACACAATACACAGCACAAAGCTATACCTCACAGTCAGTCAGACCCGCTTGAAGGATCATTAATATGATGACATTCATAAGATAATCATACAATCATGTACATTACCTGAGACTGAAAGGTCTTGTCAAGAAAATACAATCAAAGGTAGCTGTACAACTGTATAACGATAAGTGTGTATAAAGACATTGCAGTGAATGTAATGAAATACTCTTGTTTCAGATTTTTGCCCCCCTTGATCTATGTGGAATAGAAAACCTTAAATATGAGATAATTCAATTTTCAAATATTTTGCTAATAAACTCAAAAATGACACCTCAATATCCCTGTAGGCTTAATACTGTAGTTATAACTTATGTTTTATAACCTTATTATGTTATATATCCCCATATTTTGTAATACTCTGGATTTTGTTAAAATCCAGAATTCACATTTTGTCTTTATATTTTGAAATCCATACTAGAATACCTGTATACCTACTTACATTTATGAACATATTTACATAGGATGATTGATGATGTACTAAACTGGCCTTACACAGAGTCATGCTCAGGAGGTAAACTCAACCTACCCATGCAAGCAATGTGCAAATCTGTCTGTGGTTGATGGGGGTGTTTTTCTAAAGATACGTGAATATTTCTGGGCTGACTCTGAACTTCCTCCCCAAAAGATATGGTCTGAAAAGGCCAAAAGCATAGTTCCCACCCCCTTCAATCTAGATAAGGGACCAGTGTGTAATGGATACAAGGACACTAAAAACTACAAACAAAACAACTGCTTTGTCCTCCAGAGTTTGGAAAAGGAGCACACATTTGGAAGTCTTTGGAATAGGACAGCACTGTTGGGATATATTCAGTTGGTTCTGTGAAACAAACTATCTTGCACGTTAGGTCACTTATTCAGCGCAAAACTGCATCCAGAATCACTTTGTCCACAAATATGACCAATTAAATGAATAACTCAAATCACCCAATTCTAACCTTTGTATTTGTAAATGTCCATATGTCACACACAGATTTTCATAAAGTTAGTATTTTAAGTACAATGGTTGATAACAATTTTAAGGATTTTTGCTTTAGTATCTCTGGTTAATATTACTTTATACCATACTCAATACATCTCAGAAGGAAATATTGTACAACATGTATCTGCCAGCTATAGTTACCACTTACTTTCCAGTTTAATAGCTTACTTAAAAGAACATTAGCATTAACGCCCTTTAACATAGTTTTCAGCTTTCATTTTCCTTTAAGTTTCCTTAAATGTTACGTTTGTAAAAAATAATCTAAGTCTGTTGTCATACAGTATCATATTCAGCATTTTCCTGCTCTTAATTAAAGCTTCATGATGCTTATATTAAATTAAATATTCATATATAAGACTGCAGGATTTCTGTGGCTCAATAAAATGGAAATATTCAAGATTTCTCGAGTATCATTTTAGTCAAATGTATCTCTGGAAACTGTGGTCTCTCCGCTAGAATTTTACACAACCTTCTGTCGTGAACATGTACCTTGTTTGGCTGCACAGCATAAGCTTGTACTGACTGACCCATTGGTTGGGCGTTGAGGTTTAATTAGTCAATAAACAAGTTTCCACTGAATGTGTGGGGATGAAAAGAGTCAAATGTCAGTATGTGAAGGATACAATGCTCTGTCGATCTGCTGGGTTCCTCAGTCGGATTTTTTCCAGTTTCTGCAACTCCTTCAGCTCTCTGTTCACATCAGTGCTGAACTTCTTCAGATCTGCCTGAATGGTAGACACACTGTCAGCTCATACAACACACAAAGCAAAGGCCAGTCAGTCTTTTGTGGAACACTTCTCAAATGTATACATTTAAAAAAAAACATTTTATTATACTATATTCATCCCGGTAAGGGGGAAATTTGTCTCTGCATTTGACCCATATCCCTGTATCAGGGAGCAGTGGGCTGCCCATGACAGGTGCCCGGGGAAAAATTGACCTATGCCCTTATACCCTAACATGCTGGAGGGGTCACTATCACCCCATGACCCTGACAGCTGTGTTGTTGGAGACAACAGCTCCTGGCAAGGTCACTCAGGAATGGTCCAAAGCAAGGGGTCAAGACCAAGAACAATTCCACAAACTTTATTGAATGACAACTTTGAAGGCAAACTGGCTCACCCAGATTAGGGGGACTAAACCCTCTCCTGGAGCCAGGCCTGGAGGATGTAGGGATCAGGTGTTCACCAATGTAGCAAGCAAAGGCTTGGACATTGCTGTCCTCTCCTCAGACTACTACACTATATTGATCTACCAAGGTGAATGTACAGTGACATTGTAATGCTGCATAACCTCTGGGGCGGAGGTGGATGCTTGGGTCACCATGACATGTAACTGTGACATTGGAGACCACTATTCTCATCTTCTTTCCTATCAACAGTCGTCAGTGCTTTCTGTAACCATATTAAACCAGCTTCCGTTCCTAAACCTAGACATGGTTCTGGCATCCTTTTTGTAACGGCCCTCTGTGACACTTTTATAAGGTACTGTCACATAATGCTGTTGTGTTGATTAGGGCCGGACTGATAAACTGGCAAAGATGCTTTACCCTGTTTGCCCAAATATGTTTTTTTCTGGAAATTGCTTTTAACAATGAGTGGGTTGAATATTATTTGAGGACGAGACAATTGGGTATTTTTTTACATTACCCAATTGTAACTCTTATATAGAGCAGAGGTAGCCAACACGGTGCCCGCGGTGCCCGCTGGCACCCTGTCGCCTGCAAGGCATGTTCTAAAAATAGCACTTGTCACCATGGAGCTCCGTCTAAAATTGTGTCTTTTCTTTTCTGTTCTTTTTTAATCAAAAACGCTTGCATTAGTGTAGATTTTAAAATGACAATATTTCTTGTCATAAGAGAGTTGGGTACCCGGAGGCGCACGGCGGACAGCCATGACGAGGCCGCCGCACCGCACTGGATCCTCCAGTCGGCTATAGACCAGACTTTTTACTAGTTTCTTCGTGGAGAAAAAGGTACCATTGGAAAAGCTGGTGTCGGTGACAACAGACGGGGCTCCCGCGATGACGGGCCGGCATGCAGGCTTCATTGCGCAATGCAAAGGTGACCCAGACTTCGCAAAATTTCTACATTACCACTGGATCATTCACCAGCAGGCGCTATGTGCAAAAGTAACCGGCTTTAATCATGTGATGATACAAAAATATCAGAGATGTGATACCTCTGACTTTCAAATGTTGATTAACAGAAATAAAAGTTGCATGTTTAAATATGTATGTGTAGCTATACCATCATTGTTGTGGAAATCATTCTTAATAATTATTGTGAGGAATAATTAACTGACATGTGATCAAACAGTCTCTTCACATATATTGTTATTATTAAGGTGATCTGTGTAACTTTGTTATTCAGGAAGTTTGTATCAAATAAGTAGCCCTTCGCACTACTCGGTACCCTTGAAGTAGCTCTCAGTTTAAAAAAGGTTGGTGACCCCTGATATAGAGTAACAATGTAACGCAGACTAATACCTAGTGTGTTGCATTATGGGTTGTCAGTCTGCGTTAACCTAAAAGAGGTTATTACGACTCGTGATGTGTAGAGGAATGAAAACATCTTCCAACATATTTATTGCAGAAATGGGCCGAGGATTGAATTATCTGTCAATCTGCCGACAGACTGTCTAAAAATAACTAACTGTCAGTCTGTCAGAGGAATAATTTTAACTGCTTCCAAGAGCCATACAGTAGAGCGTGTGAGCATGTGACTGACTGATGCTTCAAGGATGATGTCTTCTTTTCAGACAATTGAATGTTCAAGACACGTTCCTATCAAGACCAGTCTAAAAGTGTTTTGTATCTTTAACAATGTTTTCCCAAAAACAAGAGTTGAATTCGGGGGGTCATTTTATAATCTGGGGTGTCTATTCAGGTCAATAAAGTTATCAACTGATATTAGTTTCTTGCAGATACTGTATATCAATGTCAGAGGCACAAATCTGAAACATCTGTAACCAAACTCACCCTTTTATTTTTAACTATGTCTCCATAGGCTTTTAGGGGAGCAACAACTCTCGTCTCCAGTCTTTCTACCTGCAATAATAAAGCGTCCAACATGACAACAGTCATATGTATAAGAGTTTGATACAGGAAATAGAGAACATTGATGTACATAACAACAGTGTCTGTTACCTGAGCCTGCCTGTAGTCCTGCACCATGGCCAGGTCTTCAGCCATGTTTTTCAGGCCGATCTGGAGCTCGGGGTCCTCTCTGCTGGAGAAGTCAAAGAGCTGAGCGACCAGCAGGTCTGCCTTGTCTCTGAGCTTGGCTGTCTTCCTGGTGTAGGAGGCCAGCAGGGAGCAGATCTCACCCATGTACCGCTCAGCATGTTTCACTGTCTGCTCCATGCTCTTCACCTGGACATCCCTGCTCGGACAAATCAAGAGAAATTTTCGTATCCATTCTATCTTTTCTTGTGTCACACTGAGAATAAACTAGCTTGGTAACATTCTAGCCAAAGCCCCCCAGCTTAGAGAGGAGCTGTTGAAACTGCGTTCATGTTATTGTCTCTCTGAATAATGTGAAACATAAAAGCAGTGACTCCTACCTGGATAAGAGTTTGTTCATGTTTGTTCTGTCGTCCTCCCAACAGCCTCTCTGCTCTGTTGTTTGCTGATTTTCACCTGCACCAGGTAACAGAATACTGTTGCCATGGAAACCCTAACAACAGAGGGCGTGTGATAGCTGTGTGGAGGTGTAAGTGATGCTCTCTGCCACATGATGGCAGCAGATTGCTATTATGGCCATCTACTGGACCTTGGAACTAATGAGAAGTTGTTCTGTCTCTCTCTATAAAGGATTATGTATAACGTACAAAGGAAAAGAAAATGTCCATGTCACTTCATTCTCTGTATACTGTACATAAGAAATGACAAGAGTCTGCAACAGAGCTTTTTGGTACCACTACTACCGGGGGAACAAAATACTGTATTCGGAGAACCTTGCTTCTTTAATGTTCACAGTAACTCATGTAAAGGAGAAAGGGAATGAAGATTGATAAATTCAAGACATACGAGTTTCTTTACTTGAGTAAAAGTATGAATACAATAAAACACAAAAAATACTTCATTACAAGTGAAGGTCCTGAATTCAGAATTTAACTTAATACTTCTGTACTATTGCTGTCAAAAGCAAGTACAGTATTCCATCTTAATAATGATGCATCAACGCATAAATCACATTCTGCTGTTGGGGCTGCTCAAGAAGTATAGCCCTGTGGTTCCCAACTTAGGGCTTGGCCTCTTCAAAAGGGTCACAAGATAAATCTGAGGGTCATGAGGTAATTAATGGAGTAGTAAATGAGGTGGGCCAACTAAAATGCTCTGTTACACACATTTATATTAATGTTTTGGACTTTTCTCTAAAATATTGGTTAATCTGTCTCAAAGTGTTATTTAAAAAAAACTCTTGTATAGTTTCTAGTTATATACTTATTTTATTTATTCTTATTTTCTCCTTTTAGTTATCTTTTTATTTGTACGTATTTCTGTCTTAGGGCTGCTGTAACACCTGAACTTCCCCTCTGGGGATCAATTAAGTCTTGTTTTTTCTTAATGCCGCTACATCTAAACATGTACAAAAACAGTTTTTAGTCACAAAGAGCCACAAAGATGACATCAAATTGAAGAAAAACATGTAATTTAGTCTCACTGGGGCTATGTGGTTGAAAAAAAATAGTGTCCTTGATTTACAAATCTGTGAAAAATAACTGCTGTTACATAACTAAATGTAAATCTTCTACTATGCAAAATGTTGACATTTCTCTAATCGCTTCGAAGCAGGTTTTTTTCATCACATTAGCAGCTGAATGAAATGAATTTAAAGCTGCACGACAATTCAGTGAAATAGATTTTTCTAAAATGAAGTACTTTATTTTAAGTTGCACATTTTCATTCATTCAAAAGCTTTCTGTTATGTCAGTTATTCTTTAATGCAGCCCTTATTTTACTTGAAATGAGAAGAACATTTATTTATGTATTTCTATGTATTATTTATAATCCATCCAGTTAAATTTGAAAGATGAGAAAAATAATTGTTAAAATATAATTGGTGTGTACTTTCCTTATTTTATTTGACAGTTGTTGACTACACAGAGACATTGTTACTACTGCTAGGCTTATTGAATATATATACACATATATATACATATATATATATATGTATATATATACACATATATATACACATATATATATATATATATGTGTATATATATATGTATGTATGTATGTATATATGTATGTATGTATATATGTATATGTATATATGTGTATATATATATATGTATATATGTATATATATGTATATATACGTATATATGTATATATATATATGTATATATACGTATATATATATACATATATATATACATATGTATATATATATATATATATGTATATATACATATATATATATACATATATAT